AGCATACAAGACCCAAACAAGTCCAACCAGGTGGTCACAACCCACTATCCGCACAGGTGGCCATCAGCCAACCGGTCCGTTGGGGAGCTTTACAGCACTCAGCAGCTTCATCCAACAGCCCAAGCTGGACTGGAAACACTTAATTAGACCTCGTCCAGCCTGATGCAGGCCCCACCAGTGCTCACAGGTGCCTCTCCCCCCCCAATCAGCCCCCTCCAAGCCCTATACACCAGACACCACAGAGCCCATCCAGCCCCCCCAGCCCCTCAGACAGATCAACTATCCGATAGCCATAGGACAGCATATACCTAGTCCCATCTGGCAGCCACTGGTCTTGGCTACACGAACAGAGCCCCAACCCTCAACACCAAATAGCCGAGAGGGGCCCACCAGCTACAGCCAGGAGCCACAAAGGAGGTAGCACCAACACCTAAAGGTATCGGCACCAGCCATACCGTCCAACCCAGCCGAGCTGAAGTCTAACTGAGTAGGGAAAGAATGAGCAGAGCTAGCCGAAGCCAGCCCCACAGGTCTGGCAAATATACAGACCAAATATTGGGCAAGAGGCACTCTCAACAAATGCGACAAGAAGGGAGGAGCAAGGGAAACAGAAGTAGTCAAACAGAAGGTAGGCTCCACTTGCAATGGGTGAAGCCGCCAACCACAAACCACAACCGAACCAACTCAATCTACAGACAATACGAGTGTCTGGCAGCCAATCGTCCCACACCACCCCAGGTAGTCATAGACAACCACACCAGGGGGCAGAGTCTTTCAGGGTCAAAGCCATCCCCATCAAGGCAGAGAGGAGACACCCGACTGAACCACCGTAAATGCCACATGGACAAAACTCCAAGAGAACGGTGATAAACAATATCATAGGATTTTCGACTCTAGAAACATGTAGTGATGAGGAGGGGGGGGGCCGGCGAGGCCCCCTCCCCAGTGGATTGATGTAGCCGGTATGACGTATTGATACTTGGGAAGGTCATTAATCTAACCCAAGGGCGTTTTGTATCGTGAGAACTAAGGACTCCGTTAAAACCCAACAAAAGACATGAGCTGGCCCAAAGAATGACATGGGTGATCCCCTCAAACATAATGTTCAATTCCCCCAATCGAATGCGAAACCTGCGAGTAGACGATAGACAGGAAGCCGTTGACATTTTACCGAAAAGAGCTCGTAAGCGACTGTGATAAAGTGCTCGAAGTGACAGCATTGTGAGAAGCCATCAGGCGATGAAACGAGAAGCAAACAAGTAGTCCATCACGCAACACCTAACAGACCTCAACACCAAAGACCCCAGAAACAACTGAGCAAACTCAGATATCTTCCCCAGAATCCAAGGTATCAAGGCCCACCATGGGTGTGAAAGAATCACTTGGAGCGAAGCGACGGCAAGGACGAGGAAAAGTACTTAGAACAAAGTGTGAAGAACCTATCCTCCTCGGCCGCATCGGCCTCCTTATATAGTATTCTTCCCGTCCATAGTCATGTGATCCAAAGTGGTCACATGTACAAAACCAAATCATAACAAACTAGTCATGTGACCAAAGTGGTTACATGCTCAAAACCCATGACCTCATAGTAAGGTCATGTGCAAAAACTCATAAACCAATCATAACACAATAAACAAGTTATATGACTGGACTGAGTCATATGCATGAAATCCATGACCTCATAACGAGGTCATGTGCGAAACATGAATCATATGCGTAAGGCTTACCCGTAAGGTACACTCATAAGGCATACTCGGTAGGCGCACGCCCCATGACTCATATTTAAGCCATGTGCGAAAGCATCACAAATCTCACAGAACAAATCATATGACTCGAATGTGTAACCGGTACGGGTACTCGGTTATTGGTTTTGTTTTATGTTTTGTTTTAAGTATCGCTTTGATACTTGGTTTGTTTTAAGTATCGCTTTGATACTTAGTTTTGTTTTATGTTTTGTTTTAAGTATCGCTTTGATACTTGGTTTGTTTTAAGTATCGCTTTGATACTTAAGGAGTTTTACCAAAGTGTATCGATTGATACCTTTGATTAGTTTCGTTCATGCTAGACATGAACAGATTTGTGTATTTAAAGACCGCCTGTTTCTACGATAGAAAAGGCAGACTTCGACAGACAGTATTTCAATATACCTGGTTGAACGGTTACTTCTTTGTTCCCCAGTACACCCTTGAATCCTCCTTTAGTTCTCAGCTCTCGCCTCCTCTCTGGAAGAGCAGGCCACCTGCCAACTATCGTATCTATTATCGATAACGTGATTAGTACCCTGCGAACATGTTACAGAATGAGTCATATGTGTGAAATAATAACATACCTGTGACTCATAACCATGTGTCACGTGAAAACCTTTTTCATGCCAAGCCACGTTCGTGACACTTCGATATTTATATTCTGTATCAGAGTTTTCGTGGACTACATCTATTTATCATACAAATATGTACCTTTCTGATTATAACTCGCAACATTGGGTATTCTTGAAAGGTGCAAAGACCTGGAGACCCTGAAATTCACCACACCCTCTTTGCTAATTATGATATAACTACCTCAGAATCCTACTGTTCCCAATAGTAGTTATCTAATCTTTAGAGTCTTTAGACTTGTAGCCTAGTTTTCAAGTTGAACTGGGTTGGCTTCAATGATCTTTATTATTGATGAAATAATCAGTTTCATTGGCAGGTTACATCTGTGAAGGTAGTCTTAATCACAAAACTTTTTTGGTTGCCTGGCTTTAAATCTCCATAACTCCTTACCCAACTGATAGATGTCTTCCGAAAAACTTCCTCCTAATTCACAAAAAGGTATTCCACTGGATTAATAAATATTCCCTCAGTTGGCAACCCTTGGTTGCTCTGGATAACAGGGTTTCAATTACTGTTGTAGTATTAGAAGTTGTCTTCATAACTACAATGTGTTCTGAAACCTAGTTGTGACACTCTGTAAAGTCTAATAACTTCTATAGTAGTGTTTATCAGAGTTCTAGACTCTTTTCAATATTTTAGAATGGGTGTGAATGTATTGGTCTCTTGCTGAGATCCTTTACCATTTAATACTATCTCTTTGTATGGGAGCGTCCTATTACATACAGCCCATACCAAAGGTATCACATCTTTGAAGCCTAGTAACCTTCTGAGTAGTTGACATATTTACTCAGTTCCACTTCTCAGACCCAGCCAAAGGTCACCTCTCACATATCCCATAAACGGGTTCAGGTCAGATGAACGGCGGTGATGTATACGGTGTTATTCTAACATTTTCAATTCTGTGGTATTATAGTCACAGGACGCAACTGAGATTGATATGTATGATGACACGAGGACCCCGTAAGGGGGCCAGAGGGGGGTGTTGGAGACTAGAGATTCCAATTCCAGGTATGGTTATCCTATTTAGGGTGACTCCTGGATATTGGATCCTGGTATTCCTAACAGTTGCCACTGATTGTTGAATCACTATTAATTTTGTCAAAGTATAATACTTACTTTAAATAAGTTATTAGTGTCATATGTTCTACAATATTTTGAGATTCATATTATAGAATTTAGCTATTGTTATCACTATTTCTTAAAGTCTCACTCTGATCTACAGTTTAGGTATTGTGTTTCTCTTATTGGCAATTAGCTCTTATTTGCTATTAGCTTTGAAGATTTCTATCTATTAACTCTAGAGATTTTTGGTTCATTATACAGGAGAGCTTGAGGTTACTTGTTAGCATAGTTTTTCATCTATTATATATCTTTGTATCATACTTATATAGCTTTCAGGAGTCTGGTCTAATAGGGTGGAGGGTTTTAATCCTTATACTATAAGGTTAGATATTGTATACCTTTGTATAATAATATTATCATAGCTTAAAAATAATAAAATATGAGATAAAAACTCAAAATAAATCAAAATATCTAACTATTTTGACTCAACAACTTGAAGTAACAGAGGAGAGATCTTATTTATATATAAATCTCCACCACCCTTTATGTCTTTATTTCAATTTCTACTCTTGAGAATTTCTCATTCTAGTACTTTTAGCAATTTTACCAAGATAAAATTATTATAAGCCTGCCTAGATATCATACATTTCTTTATATCGCAAAGGCACCTAACCATAACTAGTCTTTTTTACTTATCACCTTCTCCACTCTCAGAATACTAGTACGGTACTAAGGCAAGAAGGAGAAGAATCCAGCTTCAAGTAAGTTCAATAATCCTCTTATTGCTTCTAAATATATTTTGATCTAGTCCATGCTCGCATCTGACAAAGAGCTCGCTTAATCCTAGTACCAGTACCGGAGATAAATATCGCCCCAGGAGATAGTGGATTATCCGAGTAAATAACCAGATTATGCAACGCATTCACCGACCAAGCCTGTTCGAAGGACGGGGATGAATTCACCCGACCCAAGCATTAAATTTATTCGAGTACAGTACTGTGCATCCCACTAGAAGCCCTGGACAATACCAACCCCGCATACAAAACAAAACCCTTCGTGCAATGCCAAGACCGCGTGCAGAACCACCGAGAATCGTAGATCATCGCCGGGTCGAAGTGCCTCCGATCGGGGCGTTTCGAGTTCCGGCCGGAGAGATTATCCGGCCGAGGACTAACCGAGCAGCATTCGGTTCTCGAGAATACTACACATTGGAAGTGCAAATCCCCTATTCATAGTCGACATGCAGAGAACCAAGCGAGTGATAACCGGTGGGTGGGTTGGACTATTCAAGCACGTGAAGGTGGTACAGTACTGTGCAACTTAGTTCCCATGCGTTTCCGGAGGGCCTATGATACCGCTTGCCCGGTGGAAAGGGGCGTTCACTGAAAAACGGCTCGAAAGAGCACTTTTTGGTTGACTAAAGTAGGCAGATTATTTGTCGTCCAAAGTGATTTGAAACACTCTGAAATTCATAATTCTTCTTGGAGCAACTACGAATGGGAAACCCTTTGAACTTGTAAGGACGAAATCACAACTAGTCATTTCAGAGCTCTGGCTAGGTGATTAAAGCTTCGCCGCCCTCTCCTTGGCACTATCGATCCGATCCCCCTCATCGTCCTGCTCGGCCACAGTCAACCCCGGGAACTCCGCCGGCACAATTCTACGGGGAACAGCCCCGGGGATCAGAGAGTACTTTGAGAAGTCTGTGACTCCCCCGTGCTCCCTAAGGAAATCCTCGTCCGTATCCAGCAGCCCGTTGATGGTCTTCACCGGAGCATTGATCATTGCTATGACAGCGTCGCCGAAGATGGTCTGTCGGCCGAGTAAGTCATCAATGTCTAGCATCGCAACGGGGGGCATAGCTTACGGGATGCCGGAGCTGCTTTGGATCCACCCTTCCAGTGGCGCCGGACTGGATAGCCTATGAACAGTAAGATTTTGCCCCATTATTCCCCAGCGCAATGATGTGCGATATATGACCTACCACTGCTGGCCAAATCCCACAAATCCCCAAACCCTTCTCCCCCTGTCTCTCCCAATCCATCGCCAATCCCTTAACGATAACACTCATCCCCACCTTCCCAACCGCATACGCCGTCTTCCCGCGGAAGAATCTCGAATATATCGGGGGACAAACAACCACAACCCTTCCAACTCCCTGCTTTCGGAATGCCGGGATGATAGCCTATAGAGTGATATATAACCCTTCAGGGTTAACTTGCTGCAAAAGGCGGAAGCGGGGTGTGGGAGTGGTGTCAAGGGCTGACCAGTAGATAGCCCCAGAGTTGTAGATAATGACATCAATCTTGGAGAACTTAGAAAGGGTAGTTTGAATTAGGGAGTTAATGCTTGCTTCGAAGCGGACGTCAGTGGGGATTGCGAGGGCAGTGCCACCAGACTCCGTGATTTCGCGAGCGACAGTGGTTATCGTAGACTAGGGTCCTTGGTTAATGGTGAACAAAAATGGGATGGAGGGGAAAGAAAAAAACACCTGGGAAGAGTTGGGATCGGGTGGGAATGTGTATGGCTTCGATTCATCTGTTATGCTCTTTGCAGCGAGCACTACTGTTGTGCTATCAGCGAAATAGTCTAATGGAGAACGGCTTCTACGGTGCAATAGCCTTAATAGCTCCACCATGCAAGGATGTCAAACCAATGTAACCAGCGTGAGCGAGGTTAATTGTAACTTGACGCCCGATACCCCTGGATGCGCCGATTACGAGGGCAACCTTGTGGGGATTGTTTCCAGCCATGTTTTTAAATTCGTATTTGCCTGTCAGGAGTGCGAGTTGTTGGGGAGTTGGGGGGTGAAAAAGGAAGGATAAACTTTATATGCACCACAGTGTTGCACAGCGATATTAAACTTACCGAGGCAACTGAACTTGATCACTAAACGTACAAGTACTGTGCTCGAGTAATTTACAGTACAGTACCGGTACTCGTATAGTAATCGTACACTGAGCCGTGCTACCTGTTATCGTATCAAGCCGGTGCTTTTATAATGCGATAGAAAAAAAGTATATAACTGAACTATCTACTCTGCTCTGGAAAGTTAATCAGCAAAGAAACTTCTCCATCACAATATCGCAACAATGGCTTCCATCCCTAGAATTAAGACTTATCTCGATTGTGGTACGTTACCTCCCTTAAACATGCACGTTGCACCCACCAAACCACCAGACGATAGCTAATAAACCCACAAGTGTCCCCATACTCCTACTACGCCTTCACTTTCTTAAACAAGCACCGCGCAGCACTGGATTCCCATGGCGTGACCATAGAATTTGTCCCCATCTTTCTCGGGGGTGTGAATGTTGCAACCGGGAACCAGCCCCCGTGGAAGCTCCCCGCGAAAGCCGCGTACGTGGCAATCGACATGGGGAATGCCAAGAGATACTTCGGACTTCCTGCGTTGAAGAGACCGAGCGTGTTTCCAGTCCCCACAGTTAAGGTATACCCATCTCTCTTCATAATAGGCGCCGCGAATAAGGGCTGATGGGTAACTTATGTAGCCGCAACGGGGACTGATCTACATAAAATCTCACTTCCCAGAAGAAACCTACGTAGAGGCGTTCCGTCTTCTATGGGTTTCGCTTTGGGAACAGGACAAAGATATTTCGCAGGAGTCGCAGCTTGTGGAGACTTGGAGTGGATTGTTTAATGAGGAAGAACTGAATAGTATCATTGGAGCAACTGAGGAGGAGGAGTACAAGAACGCTTTGATGGAGAATACCAATGAAGCAGTCAAGAACGGGGCATTTGGGGCACCGTGGTCCGTCGTTAGGAACGCGAAGGGGCAGGAGACGAGGTATTTTGGGAGTGACAGGTTTCATTTCATGTGGGAGTTTCTTGGGATTGGAGATGGAACTGGGTTTGCTCCGAGTCCTAAGGCGGTCCTTTGATATAGCTTCAGGGTTTATTTTGTTTCTTGCTTTTTTGTAGTGAGTTGCCATCGGAATGCACAAATCTTGATACAATTCAATCTACTCTCATGTTTCAACGTTTAATTGCTGTAGTCTCATGGTATCACACAGAGTGCACGCCTCACGGAATTGGCCAATATCCAATGCATTCCCGGTCGTAGCCAGGCAAACTTTCAATTCTTCTCTCATACAGGAATGGGGAAAGATAACCAGGGAACTTTAGTCATGCGAGACTTTGAGCAGGTTGAAAATGGCCTACATTAAGGCCCCACCTCCACTGACTCTCCAATGGGAGATCTTACGCTCGCTGGTTCAACCAGAGTGAGTTATCTGCTTGCTGAGAGAAGGGGGGATTGCGGTCCATGCGATAGTTTGTGCTGTGCCCAGAAGCTCAAGCACAGCACGGCGTGAAACCCGAGTGAAACCCGCGACATCCTTACCAGAGCCATCTGTATTCTGAATATCAGCTGCCATTATTGGCTTACGCTCGTGCACTTAAGAGGCGTGACAAGATTTCGTCCCTCTCCACCCCCTCGTAACTTGCTTAACTTGCCCTCCCGTGGCGGCTTATCAAAGTGGTCGAAATAAATCAACATGACTCCACATATCAGTGAATCTGCCCGCTCTTTCAATACTAATGTGTCGAGAGTAACTTTAATGCGGCTGGCCAGACGTTCTAAAACGTTGATGTATCCAGGAAATAGGCCAGAGGCAGGGTAAGCCGATTCACTCTAGAACATGGCAGGAGGGGTACTCGAGTAGGAAAGGCAGAAACAATATGGTCATGGTCTTGGCTCTCTTTTTTAGCACCTTAATGCTGACGGATGAATAGGAGTACGTGGGAAATATAGTGTCATAAAGGCAACCTGACTCTTCTATGGATCGCCACATACATCTCATTTCCTTCGGAGACTCCCATGCTACAGTTTGATGCTAAAAGATATGGCTGCTGTTCTTGACAATAGTGTTCGCCCGTCTGCCGCTTAGGAACACCAATCTTCTATGAAATATCAAATATCCTTAGAGTTATAGTTTTTTTTTTTTTTTCCTTTCTTTTTTTTCTTTTTTTTTCTAAAATAGATAGAACAAAAGGTTTGAATACAGAATATCGATATAATATTTAGTACACCACCCTTTGCCTTAATAACTGTATAAACTTCCCAGTAATATCCTCTACCAATCTTTCAAATAAAGAATCTGGTGTCAACTCCATTAACTGATATGAAGATTGAACTAAAAATCCTTTTCCTTCAATTCCTCTAGAGAAATTAGTGAGAAAAAACACAAAGTTTGAACATCTGTCCTCATATCTACTCTACTTTTATCTAGTATCCTTATCCCATTACATGTTCCCTTTAACCTACTAGAAAAACAGGCCTATATTATCTACTTAATATCTTTAGACTTCCTTACTATCTTCACATATCCTGAAAGTCATTTTTTCCTGACTTCTCTAAAGATATATTGAAGTGCTAGTTCTACAGATTTCTTCATGCTATATTTATTACTCCACAGTACTATTTTCTATTATGTAATTGTTTAATACTTATATTTAAGTTACTATTCATATTTCTTTCTCACTGGAATAAGTATTAATCTTGGTTTCTCAATCTTTATATAGTTGTAAATACAATTATCTACAAGTCTTTACTTTCCTCTTCTTCTTGAAACAGAAGGAGGAAATTCTCAATAAAGATGTTATAGTCATATTTCTCTATTATAATCAGTAGAGATAATTAAATTACAGCAAACTGTGAGAAAAACTTTTAGTGATTTACTGATTCTGATATTGATAAAACTAAGATAATAGCTCAGTATTATTTGTAGTCTAGAGTATGAATTAAAGTTAGTATTTTTACTCAACATAAAATCTTAGAAAAACTTGTTCCAAACTTCCTTATTCTTACTACTCTCCAATGTGTAGGTTCTAGATATTTTTTCTTTCCACTCTCTTCCTACAGTAACTCTTTTTTACTTGTTGTTTAAAGTGGTTTATAGTTGAAGTAGTGGTTACGTCCACTTGATTAACTGTATCAACAATGACTTTTTGTTGATAAGTTATAGAATGAAGGAAAAAACATATATGATGAAGCCTTTTCACATATCATGATAGATCCAGAATAAACCAACAATTCCACCGCACTCTGAAAACAGAAGCAACTCTTATGAACCTTGATTCTAGCTTCCTCAAGCAACTCCAGTATAAGATACTACTGTAGGTATTTCCTCTGATACTACCAAGGTGGTACCAATATATTCAAACCAGTTAGGCTAGCTGCTGGAAGGCTGTCTCCTGTAAATTAAAAGATCTCGAAGCTGGGTACAATACAGGTCTTGTAGGAATATCTAATAGTGTAGTAAAAATATTTTCTGTAGTAACTCAGGAGTTGTCCAAAGGTATATCAGGCAAGATAGACAGCTTTAATACTAAATACTACCTGTCCTAGCTTTTAGAATAGAGGAGGAAGTGATACTGAAGCTTCTCCTAGAGCAAGATAATAGTAGCCCTCTGTAATGATCCTCCTTTGGATAGTTAGTTCTTCATGACGGGGGACGATACTTCTCTTCTTCCTTTGCTGTACGATAGCTCTTAGGCCTATGCCTACGTCACTCATAGTACAAGACTAATATCTTCTATCTGTAATACCTATCGTAAGCTTTCTCTAACTCTACCTCATGTAGAGTATTCTTGTCGTAATAGTAATAAAGGTCGTGATAATGGTAAAGTGAGTAAAGGTGTTTTACATTTGTTAAAGTAATAATTAGGAAAAGTACTTAGAATAAAGCATGAAGAGCCTATCCTCCTTGGCTGTACCAGCCTCCTTATATAGTGCTCTTCCTGCCCCTAGTCATGTGATCCCAAGTGGTTACATGTGCAAGACCAAATCATAACAAACTAGTCAGATGACTAAAGTGTTCACATGCACAAAACCTATGACCTCGTACCAAGGTCATATGCGAAAACTCCTAAACCAATTATAATACAATAAACAAGTCATATGGCCCAAAGTAGTCACATGCACAAATGTGATAACATACCTATGACTCATAATCATAAGTCATATAAAAACCTTTTCCTTGCTAAACCACATTTGTGACACCCTCGCAGAGAAGACTTTTCTTCTGGCCAAGAACTACCCTTGTAGGCTGTTGAATAAGAACAAAGATGCTGTGAACTTGCTCTTACCCCAGCACAGGAAAAATTGAACTCCAAAAAGCCAGAAGAGGGTAGACAAACAACACTCTAGCTAGCCTTTAAGGTAAGAGCAGGAGAAAATTCTGGGGAACCCATTTAACTCACAGACGTCAGGTCAAGACGAGTAGATGGTAAGAGTAGAGCCCTGCACTGATAGGATCTCTTGTCCAGGATAGGTTTTCGAACTAAGTGTTCCCCCGCTGTGCCGTCCAGGGTGCATATTGAAGGAAGGCATGGGAGGAGAAGATGAGCTTGTTGGTCTGCATATTCCATAGCCAAATTTATGAGAGAGGTGAAACGAGGGCATAGCTTACCCGAGTACTTAGCCGCTAGATGATTGAGTGGATCAAGTCATTATTGCTGCCGGTGGGGAGGTGTGGGGGTTTGCTTTTGTCGATGGGGTAAGACAGCCACTGAAGAATACCTCTATAGATTAGATTTCTCATTCTCCCCCCCAATACTGTAGAGAGTGTCTGCGAGTGCCAAACTTTGATAGATACTGGAATCGAACATCAGGAGTTGGATCACAAGGTCGGACAGCATTTTTTGGATAGTCTACAATACTGTTTAAGTGGAGAGCGTCGGATGAGTGATTCCATATGATTCTAAACATCCTCGCTTATGTAAGCACGTCCCTCACACTAACACGGGATGTTGACACTTTTGTTTACATTGACTGCAGCCGTCAGAACCTTACACCAACCTCAACCACCACCACTACTACCAAAGGAATATTAATTTTCTCAACCCCAGATAGCTGTATAAGCCATGGATCCCAGAGACTTGGAATCGGCGTCAACATACGTAAACAACCAACTAGCCTCTCGAGGATTACTCCGTGGGAATCCAATCCCTTTCCATAAACCCGGCGACGACGACGGCACTCCGGCGAAGATTATTAACCTTGTTCACGAGCTTATCGCCCGGAGAGATGTAAGTTTGTCTATAGTGCGGCATGAGCATAAGCTGACAATGTGTAGAGGGAAGGTGAACAACGTGAGGATTTGGCATTAACAATCCGAACCCTTCGCACCACGGAAGTTAGGCAGAATGAGACAATTGTACGAGCACTCATCTCTTGACAATCTCTCAAACTAACCTCCTTCCAAAGGAACAACTGAAAGAGAAAAACCGTGAATTAGAGCGCAAAAATGCTATCCTCGACTCACAAACCCGCTCCTTCAACTCAACCCTCAGAACCGTAGAAGCCAGCGCCAACGCCCTCCGCCACGAGGCCGCCCGCCTAAAAACCCTCCTCGCACAAGTCCGCACCCAATGCGCAAACGACATTCGAAAACGCGACATCCAGATACAGAGGATGAAAGAGCGGTTAACGGACAGCAGCAAGCGCGGGCGAGCTCCAATGGCACACATTAGCGTGATTGGAGCAGCGAAGGGATCGTTCTTAGGTGAGGACGAGGATGGGACGACAACGACCGCTGCGGGGAGCTCCCTCGGGGCGGATACTACGGACTTTCTAACGACGCTGTCGCAGGGGCTCGCGGACGAGAACGATAACCTCATCGCGTTGATCAGGCAGACCTTGTCCACACTCAAAACGATCCAGGGTCTGCCAGACGACAGCGGGCTCCATGCTACGGAGGAGGATGCGGAGGATGTTGAGAATCCGGTTGCGGCGCCGCCGGCCTCGTTTGATGCGCTTAGTGATGATCTCGAGGGTGTGCTTTACTCGTTAAAGGAGTTGCTTAACCAGCCGAATTACGTTCCTCTGGAGGAGCTTGCAGAGCGTGATTCGGAGATTGCAAGGTTGGTGGCGAAGAAC